GTTGGAGAGTGGAGAACTTTAAAGTCCTGAAAGTTACTAAAAAATAAGTCAAACTTTATGAACAGTACCTGTACTTTATGCAGATTGCTGAATTAGTTCTTGTACTTTAATTTCATTATTTTGATCCCTCTACTTAACAAGTTCAGAAATTCTAAATTTCCAATCCTACTATTATCTGCTATTTGCATTTTCCATTATTTTGGCGTTATCCATTTTTTTAATTTTTTTTACTTACTATTCTATTGGTTCATTTGGTAAGATTCTTGGATTGAGATTTCCCAACCCAAAAAGTAGAGAACATAAATTAATCGTATTAGAGGACCAATTCCACAACCTGCTTAAAGTATATGAACCATTTATACAATTTGAACAGAAAAGTGTCGTGTTACCAACTTTCTTGCCACCCTATGAACCAAAACTTTGTTGAATTCATTCGAAGATTCAGGACCTGGAAACATAATGCCATCACTATCATTTGAAGATGCTGGTGGATATGACCGGGGATTCAAAAAGCGACTGGGTAATGACAGCTGATCTCACATACAGCTTGTTTAGACCGGGTAATGTCATGAACCATTTATTATGTCCGTAACCGTGATAAATACAACGCGACTGAAAACACAACCATACTCATAATTTAAATTCCTGGATATGACAGCTGATCTCACATACATGGCTGGCATGACATATCTCAAAAATGTTCCACCTTCACTCACTGCATCATCGTATCTTTTAACCATGCAATTTGTTCCTCAAATCTCTACCTTTGTTCCCCTTCTTTTCTTTCTTATATCAGTATTAAAGCAGAGGCAGACATCAGAAAGCTGCAATTCCAACTCATAAAAGCTTCGAATCCATGATGTCTGTTAGGATCTTTTCTGATTTTAAAAGGTTGTCTCAACTAACCAACCTTTTCATTTTTTGCTTTTAAATATTATCTTTATCCTTTTTGATGAGCAACAGGTGACTCATGCAAACAAAAAAAGTTATGTTCAGCCATCCCTTTAAATACCATTACCCAAATCCAAAGTTTCATCAATCATCACAAAATAAAACAACTCTTCCTTTTCCATTTCATCCATCAGAAAAATAATGATCCAGATGCCTGATCAGGTCATTGGAGTTCTGATAAAATCGTCAACATACCGAATTGAGGGAGCATCGAGATGCTACTTACCGGATTCTGCAGGCCAGTATCAAATTCCATCACCTGCTGAACGGTCTAACACATTTAGAAAAAGTAGGTTCTCTCATTTAATCCGTGAAGGGTTTTGAAACTCATAATGAAGATGTTTTGTAGTGCTAATGAGAAAGTTTTGGAATTTCAGGCAAAGGAAATTTTGTGGTTAAAAGGATGAACAAGCTTGGGAAGAAGGCTGATACTTTCGCACATGGAATCCGAGAACATGGTATGATATACTCTAAAGTCTAAACATATCATTTATGTATGTATATATACGAAAACTAAAGTTACCTTTGAAAATGCAGTGAGGCTGGGACCAAAGATCAGTGAAACAGTGAATGGAAAGTTGAGTTTGGAGGGCAAGAATTCTTCAAGTAGGAGGTGTGGATATGATATTCAAACAATTGTTTTGTGTCGGAGAAGGGGAGAAGCTGTTGAAGGCATGCCAATGTTATTTATCAACAACAGCAGGTCCCTTAGCGAGATTGCTTTTCATCTCATCTCAAAAGGTTTCATTTTGCAGCGACAGATCAATCAAAATCCCATCTCCAAATGGTGAATTCCTCAGAGTCCATTACAATGTTCGCGTGTATTATATCAGTTTTTCTCCTTCTCTGACTGTAATTTTTTACACTTCAATTCTCATGTTGTATGTCAATTTTGATGCAGGTTTTGATCCCTCTTGAGAAAATAAAGGGTGTTAATGAGAGTGAAAACATGAAGAAGCCATCACAAAAGTACATGGAAATCGTGACCGTAGACGATTTTGAGTCCTGGTTTATGGGGTTCTTCAATTACCAGAAAACTTTCAAATACCTTCAGCAAGCAATCTCCCAAAGACTACTGCATGATGTACTAGTCATTTTCTAGGTGGCTTTGCTATTGCCTTGTCCTTTGTTTCATCAGATTGTTTTTGTTGATGAAATGTTAAATATGGAAGATTTATGGGAAGTGTAAATAAAAAAATAAAACTAGCATATTTTACTGTCATGAGCAGCACATCTAAGAACGTGATAATACATGAAACACTTATAAATACAAATTTATTATAACTGTTACGGATGAGAGAAATAATAATCTATATAAAGGTTACCTTACCAACTTTTTCTATGAACCAAAACTTTGTTGAATTCATTAGAAGATTCAGGATCTGGGCACTTAATGCTATCATGCCACGCGGGGAATTGTAATGATGTGGCCATGACTGTTGCTGGTTTTTGCAACAAGCATTGAAGTACCAAACTCATCCCATTGGTATAGTCCATTAAGCTTTGACCAAAAGCAAATCATGGATTCCTTTTTTGTTAAGTAAAGCTTTATTATCCATAGTTTAATGACTGATTTTGGGGAAGTTGAAAGCAAGTTGAGGCAATCTTTAATCTGCATGGTCATTTCCACCTCAGATATGGTTCATTGCCTTTTCAAAGGAGGCTTCTTACAGTCATAACGGACCCTCTTAGTCATAAAGGAGGCTTCTTTTGACTGATGGAAGGAGGAAAAAGGGACACAAAAAAGGTAAAGAAAAGATAATCACTGCAATTCTTGACTTTTGGTAAAAAGGAAAGGAGAAGGCAAAGAGATTAAATGGATAAAATCAGGGAATTTTGAGTACCTAATGAATTTAGAAGCTTTAAACCATTTTTATCTGTTTACAATCAAATTACAGAACTATTACAGGTCCATTCTGTTCATACAAGCAGTCTTAAAATGCACTTACAGGTCCAGAATTTGAAGCTTAGAATTTGCATTCCTTTCTTTATCTCCAAACTGCAATTTCTTTTGTTTTTTTTAAACCTTTAACCGTAAAATGATTTGGAACTCCAAGATTTACTCCTTTAGATTGAATCAAACTAGGAAATAATTCCCTAGAACATTGGAGAGAACTACAACTGGAGCTTCCTATTACCTCTCTTTTTAGAGAAAGAAAGATGATAGTGCATATGACAGTAGATTTCAAATGGTTGACATTCCTCAAAATGTTCCAACTTCACTCACTGCGTTATCATATCTTTTCACCATGCAATTTGTTTGGCTGTTGAGGTTTTCCTTTTCTTTCTTCAAGTATTAGCATAAAAGCAGTGACAGACATTAGAAAGCTACAATGCCAACTCAGAAAGCTTCAAACCCACATCCTCTTACACTCCCAACAATAGAAAAAAAAAAGTAACTCTCATTTTAAAAGGTAACCCTTTTTTGCTTTTAATTTAATCTTTAAGGTAGTTTAACAGTTTCTAATAACTTGCACAGTTATGATCCTTATCATGCCACCATCTTTTCTTTAAGGCTTAAATGCCTTTGAACTATATCATTTGTACGAGTTATCATGTCAAATTTGCAATTTTAAAAACCATACTGCAAATCAATATGGTCGTAGCTTTGGTGCAAATGCCTCAACAACGCCCTTTTGCATGCCAGCAAGATTAGTTTGGTGCTTGGCTAGTTGATTTGGGAACCAATTATAATGTTACTACAAATTTGGCAGCCTTGAGTATTGCCAACGACGGCAAAGGTGATGATAAAATCTGAGTTGGAAGTAAACGTTTGGAAATCTCATATTAACATTTAGCTCAATGGAACATATAATCTTTCTTGTCTTGCAAGCAATTGAAATTATAAATTCATATTAACATTTAACCCAATAGAATATAAATGACTACAAATACACGAATCCCTGTAACAACGTCAAATCAAAATATAAATTATTATATTCTCAACATCACCAAAGAGCAATTACACACATATCTCTAACATCGTCAAAATGATTGAAGTCATACATAATCCCATACCTAAACTCAAATGGACTGTATGACATGTCACACGACGCTCTACATATTGTCCAAGGGAAACTTGATATCATATTTAAGTTTACTTTCATGCCAAGTTACGTATTGATACTTAAGGTTTCATAGGCTTAATGACTTAGATCATAATATATTTAAGTTTGGTTTTGGGGAATTTGGTCGGTTTGATGGCCTAAACGACCGTTTGAACACTCCTATGTGTAAAGCATAAAATAACTATTCATGCTACTTGACCCAAAAATGTCAAGTTATCAGCTTTTTTGCTGCCACCCTATGAGCCAAAAACTTGGTAGAATTCATTAAAGATTGAGGAGCAGGATGCCATGTGGGGGAATGGTACTGACGTGGTAATGATGCGGCAGTTGCTGGTTTTACAACAAACATCAAATTCATCCCATTGGTATATATTTCTTTAAGCTTTGACAAAAACAATCCATGGATTCCTTTTATGCATAGTAAAAGATTTATTATCCATATAGTTTAGTGCCTGATTTTGGGGCAATCTTTTACTTGCATGCCCAACTACCCCTTCATTTCCATCTCAGATAACCTATACTTCATTGCCTTTTCTTGCTCATTTTTACAAGTTCTGAAGTCTGCTTATCAGTTTCTTCATGATCTTTTGACTGATACAAGAGGGGGGAAAGGCATAACAAAGTAAAGAAAATGAACATTGTCACTGCAATTTGCTTACCAAATCTCATCTTTCTTTTATTAGCACTAAAGCAGTGGCAGACATCAACAAGGTACAACTCCAACTCAGAAAAGCTTGAAATCTAGTAATCATCCTTTCTTTAAAAATTATCTTTCACAAGCCTATGCTCTCTACCTTTAATCTTCTTTTATGAGCAAGAGGTGAGTCATGAAAACTAAATAGTTAGATTCCACAACCATATCTATACCCCTTTAAATACCAGTTCCCTAATCCAAAGATTCATCAATCATCACCCAAAAACCATCTCTTCCTTGATCATAGAAGCTGAAAGAGAGAAAAAATTCATTTCATTCATCCCAAAAAAAATGAAGAACCAGATACTTGAACAAGTTATTGGAGTTCCCATGAAATCAACAATATATGGAGTCGAGCTTACACAGAGACGATATTTACCGAACACTGCCGGCCAGTATTACATTCCATCTGTGGAAGGGGATAACGCAATGAGAAAAAGTATGGACGATCTCTTTTAATCTGTAGAGGGTTTAGAAATTCATAATGATGATGTTTCTTTAGTACTAATGAGAAAGTTTCTGAATTGCAGCCAAAGGAAATTTTGTTCTTAAGAGGATGAGCAAGCTTGGAAAGAAGGTTGATACTTTTGCACATGGAGTCCGTGAACATGGTATGATACAGTCTAAACATATATATGTATGCATGAATGTATGTATATGAAAATTGAGGTTATCTTTGAATATGCAGCGAGGCTAGGGCCAAAGATCAGTGAGACAGTACAGAGAAAGTTGAGTTTGGGGGTAAGAATTCTTCAAGTAGGAGTGGATAAGATATTCAAACAATTGTTTAGTGTTGGGGAAGGAGAGAAGCTGATGAAGGCATGGCAATGCTATTTATCAACAACAGCAGGTCCCATAGCTGGTTTACTTTTCATCTCATCAAAAAAGGTGGCCTTTTGCAGTGACAGGTCAATCAAAATCCCATCTCCCAATGGAGAATTCCTCAGAGTCCATTACAAGGTTTGTATATTTATTTGCTTTGTTTTCCCTCTCATACTGTATAATTTTGCACCATTCAATCCTCATGTTGTGTGTTAATTTGATGCAGGTTATGATTCCAGTTGAGAAAATAAAGGGAGTTAATGAGAGTGAAAACATGAAGAAACTGTCACAAAAGTACATGGAAATCGTGACGGTAGACGATTTTGAGTTCTGGTTTATGGGGTTCTTGAATCACCAGAAAGCTTTCAAATACATTCAGCAAGTAATCTCCCAAAGACTACTACATGATGTACAGCTACAATCACTTTCTAGGTGACATACAAATGTGTTATCCTTTGTTTCATCAGATTGTTTTAGTTGATGAAATATGGAGAAAATCATCAGTTTCATTGAAGTGAAGTGCACAAACAAAGATAGGAGGGAGGTAATCTAGCTTCGTGCCAGCAATGGATAGTTGAAGGTAAACCAACGATAGGGCAATCTATACTCCGGGTACATATGGCTTACGGAGAGTAGAGGATAAACAATTCTTTGTTTAAATTGTGTAGTATTGTTATAGTTTGTTAGGATTACATTTAATTAAGATTAACTATATCTATAGCTGCTAGCTCTTTGTATTTTCTCTGTATATATTATTGGCTAATGGCCACATCAAATATGTGAAATATCTCTCATTAATGTCTACATATCACGAGCCACCCAAAGGTTCATCATACGTTTTTGTTATACCTCTTTCAAATATCCTCCGGCCAACTACAGTTTATGGGCTATCATTGATAGGTCCCCATAATCTATTAGTTAAATCTATTATCTGACATTCGGATCTATTTGCATTGTCAACCTAATAGTTATCATCACCCTAAATTTAACTTCAACGCTAAGGATCTGTATATAAATCGTTGGAGAATGAGACTCTCTCAATCTATCTTATAGACTACTGTTCATCATCTCCCTCAGTCTTTCTATTCTCTCTTTCTCTTCCATAAAATAATCATACGACTCTCCGTCGAAATTAAAAAGAACGAAGCAACATATCCAAAACAACCACATTTTTCCATCAACAGTTTTCAATTATGTTCGCAAAGAATAACCTTGTAGAATGTAAAACACAATTCTAGCCACTTCTCAATACCATCCAAACCATTGCAACCCAAAATTATTTGTGAAAATCGCATGCTCCTTTGCTGGCTTTTTTGTTTCCTATCCGAGCAAGTTTATCCATGTCTCTTTGGCATGGCATCTTCATAGGAACTTCTTTAACGCATAGTTTTTGGTTTATTTCACACAATAGGTGATAACTCCGTAAAGAGACTGTGTTTTGTGTATTTTTACTTAAGTTATTGAGTGTCTAAAAGACATTGATTTAACATTTTAGCTGCATTTAGGACATATTTTCATGTTGTGGATAAATTTTGCCAAGGCAAATTTTATTTGAATAATCTGATGTTGTTAAGGAGAAAGGTTGTTTGTTGGTTGTGATGATGCAGTAAATGACTAAGGAAGAATTTATTTTCTGAGACAAATTAATTTGCTAGGGCCTGTGGAACATAAGAAGACGACAATGAGGAACAAATTTTCTTGCCAAGGTGAGTTTTATCTTGCAAGTCTGAAACAGCACAAGACAAAATTGCTAACATCACTTGGCCAGCTGTCCAATCTACCTCACGTTCAATCATGCCCTCATCAAGGAATTTGATACCACTGTCAGCTGTTATTTTATTCACACAATGAGTTTGAAACCGATGGTATTTAGGAAATTTTCAAGGGCACTAAACCCTAAAAATTCCCACTATAAATACCCCCATTATATCTCTTCATAAAAGAGGGAGGAGACCTAAAAAAGGAGGCTTGGAATAACCGGTTGCCGCATATCACTTTTTCTACTATTGCCACTCGACCGTCCTTGGTGCTCTTCATAGCCGGGCTTTTCCGGACCGGCGGCCAGACCATCGAGAGAGGCTGGTCGATGGAGCAGTCATGGTGGTGGTCTGGATGTCACGGCAAAGCTCTATTTTGAGAGTGTTTCTTCCTTTTGTTCTTCGTTTTCACATCATTTACGGGCTTGTACTTAAATATTAATTTTTGGGATGATATTTACCACACCATAAATATTTATTTGGTGTTGGATGATACTTTATTTGATTGTTAATAAATGATGAAGTTTGTTTATGCTAAGTGTTGTTTTGTTCACTGTTTTAAACTTTTATCTCGACACTGTAAGAGCTTTTGAGAGACTGTCTTGTGCCAAGGCAAAACATTCCTAGTCTTTGTAAGAGCTTTTGAGAGATTGCATTTTTTTCTAAGAGTCGATACCTAATATCAAGAGAGTTAGGTTTGATCTATATGAACAAGGGAACAAATTCGGGATGGTGAGGTTCTAATCTGCCTTAGAGATAAGGAGAGGGTTTCATTCGGCTAAAAAGGGTGAATGTTTGAGTAAGATAGGCTAAAAGCTACAGTTTACGCTGAGGGTATTACCGCAACAAAAGTTTGACAAACCAAGGGTTGTAGTTCACGCTGAGTAGTACTGTCGTAGCAAAAGTTCTAGGAACAGTCTAGTAAATCCTGTCAGACAACATAGGCATAACATACTAAATCATCCTAGACATAGAATAATTTCTTGCCATAGCAAAGCCAACCTAAGTACTCCGTTAGAAGTCTGATTGTGTGAGGTTTTTTAGAATATATTAATCTCAACATTTTTATTTGCCTTGACAACTTTTATAGTTTACCTTTGCATATTTTTATTGCCTCAACCAAACTTATCTGTTCACTTCACTTTATAATTTTTCTCGCCTCGACAATACTTTTTCATATGTTCATATCATTTGTTATTGTTTGCTTTTCCTTTTGGATAAGAATCTTAGGACTAATTAGTTACACTTATTTTTACTTGTAGAAAACATAAAAAATTTCCATCAATCCCTGTAGAGACAATAACTCACTTACTATTATATTACTTGCACATATTTGCGGGCCACAACACATATTTACACGCGATCAATAAGCAACTCGATTTCAACACAGAATTGCTAGCTTAGATGCAGTCGAGGACATTGTTGAATCTGCATGCCAACAAGACAACTATGATGCTCAAGAAAATTAGGTGCAAATGCCTCAACAACGCCCTTCTGCATGCCAGCAAGATCAGTTTGGTGGTTGGCTACTTCACTCGGGAACCAATTATAATGTTACTCCAAACTTGGCAGCCTTGAGTATTGCTGATGACCGCAAAAGTGATTATAAAATCCGAGTTGGAAGTGGTCATGGTTTGAAATTTTCTCACATTGGTATTGGCCTTTTACCTCACCATCGAAGTTCCTTTTTGATTGAATAATCTTTTACATGTTCCTCTCATTTTTCTTTAGATAAATGTTCGTCATTTGTGGAAAACCAAATTCAGTATGAGGAAAATTGGAATGTGAACATTTTAAAACTAATCTTACTATGAATGACAATCGATAACGACGGTTGGAGGACTTGTTGATTTTCTGCAATACCCAAATCGATACGCAAACTGAAGTTCAATAACTAAAATTAAGTTCAATGCCTAATAATCCATATAAATGTATTAAAGGTCCGTGGGTTTTAAAAGAAATCGTACAGAACAAGAGTCGTAGAGGAAAATATACATTGGAGCGGCGTGATAAATGCTTATGCAATGTGTACGGAATAGGAGTATAATCAAATTGTTTTGTATAAATAATTGCAGGAGACTGAACTACTGTAGAAGTGAACTTTAAGAGTTCTGAGAATAATAATAAAACGGGTCGTATTACCAATTTTTTTCGCCACCCTATTAACCTAAAGTTTATTGAATTCATTTGAAGATTAGGGATTTGGGCACTTAAAGCCATCATACCACGTGGGGAATGGTAGTTGTTGGTCTTGCTACAAACCAAAACTCATCCATTGGTATTTACCAAAATAAGACATGGGTTCCTTTTATGTTAAGTGTAGTCAGCCAGATCTGACACATGGTTGTCTTGTAGACTGTCCTTTTTTTCCTTCTGAGTCCTTTCTGATCATAGTTGTATTTCTGCATTCTTGACCTCTTGCATTATAATTCATTTTTCCATTAATGTCATCTATTCAGGTTTAAACAAACAATTTTGTAGTCAGCACCTCTTTAAATGTTGCAAATGATAAAAGATGGAAAGAAAACAAAGATGAAAGGAAATAAGTTAGTAAAATAAAATAAAAATTCCTATCCCACTTGACATTTACCCTCATGTTTTTATTTCTACCCGGGCATGATCTCTATCTCGCATGCTATTTTCTCGAACAAATCCTAACCGCATAAATTTCTAATTTGCATGCTATGAACATAAAATAAAGCAGGAAATAAATCAAGCATCCTAGGTTTTGAAATGAAGTTTTTGGGGTGGGCTCTAATTCCTTGTAGTATCCTAGTTTGGGTTTTAAAAAAAGTACCCGAGTTCTCCTTGCTAGTTCCCCCTTGGGCCTACCAGACTCTCAGTCATAAGCCCATTACAAGCTCATGTGGACCAAGTTAAACTTGAGAGGATACATTCCCTTATGTATGTACAGAGAATAAATTCACATGGAGACATAAGGTATATGAATCTCGAAAGTTACTTGCTAGGCCTATACGAAAAATAAATTTCCACGAAGGTGTCACTTTTACCTCCACTTAAAAATAAGGTTTGGGGTTCAAGAATAAAGCCTGAGATTGAATGAATTTTTGAAAAAGCTGAAATCATAAAAAAAGTTAGTACAACTATTTATTTGAAAAAAAAATAAAGGTAAATAACAAGGATCGAAATGATAAATTATAATTTAAACTTACAATTTTCACTTAAGAAGACAACCAAAAATTAATTTTGGCCTAAATGACTTACCGGTCCCCAGTAATGTCACCAAGCTGTCGTAACCTTCTTTCAGGTGAGCCTGGAATCGGGTTTCAACTTGATTTTGATGTGTTAGAGCCACCACCAATCATTTAAAATAAGGTTGACCGGACACCTTAACTCATCATTTAACTGATTTGTGATTTACCAGAAATTAATCGGATTCGGGAGTCAATTACAGTCAAGGAAGGATTAGACCCTTGTACTGCCCTTTCGGTACTAATTTAATTTCTCGGTTGTCTTAATTGCGAAAATTATAATTGACATTAAAATTTAAAATTCGATCCAATATACTTAATTTTGATAAATTAAAATTGTCCTAAAAAAGCCAGAATAATGTTAAATAATAAAAAATAAAACAAAATAAAAAAATAAAAATTAAATAGGGATTAAATTGGAAAATATTAGAAATT